GAGGTCAGGAAATTGAGACCATCCTGGCTAACACGGTGAAACTCCGTCTCTACTAGAAATAGAAAAAAATCAGCCAGTCATGATGGCGGGTACCTGTAGTCCCAGCTACTCAGGAGGCTGAGGCAGGAGAATGGCCTGAACCTGGGAGGCGGAGGTTGCAGTGAGCTGAGATTGCACCACTACACTCCAGCCTGGGCGACAGAGCCAGACGCCATCTCAAAAAAAAAAAAAAAGAAAGAAAAAGAAAAAAAAATTACCAAAACAAATTCTAGGGGGACAAATTACTTTGACAAAAAAGCTAAATTTATATATCATGGTTTTAAATCTCAATCAAATCTATCACAAATCTTATCCAGAAAAGCATACATTAACTGCACTTTTTCAGTCAGAATTCTTTCTATTTCAAGTAAGAGTTTCACATTTCTACAAAGTATTTTTTGGCCCAAAATTACATTACCACATTCTAATTTTTCATTGTTCCAGAGCATTCCTGCTTTTAGAGATTTAACAAGGAAGTCATCCTGCAATCAGGACAAGGTCTGATTCCAAAAAGACACAGCACCTGTATTCCACGATCTATTAATCTGTATAACATTTGATTCAACTTTTTTAAGTTACCTAGTGCTTTAGCTATAAAAGAATCTCTAAAATTGCAATGTCTTTTGTTCTAATAATCTATTTAATTAAGTAGAATTCTTAAGTAATAATCAAGATAATAACAGAAAATGAGGCTACTAAGTATGAAGTTGCTTTTGGTCACTATAGATTTCAAGTGACCAAACTATAAATGTTATCAAATGAAAGATACTCATTAACAGAAAGAAAATGACAACTTTGAATCTTATTTTCCTTAATGTATACTTATTTTGCTTTCACAAAAAATATAATATAGATATAATTTCAAAATGTATAATATGAATACAATTTCTATTCCTTTGTTTCATAAAACATCGTACAAAGCAGACAGAAAAGGCTTAAACCTTTGGATTCACTATTTAACAACTGGAAAGATAGCTCTCAAATTTATGCATCAGTCTGTGTGTGGGTATTCAAGCAAATTTCTATGAGTCAACCTTAATGAATAGTATTCTTCACATACAGGAAAATGTAATTTAAAAAAAACAGAATTGATTTAAATTCAAAAAAAAAGGGTAATATTTAACCTCTGTGGGTTTTCCAATTTACTGAAAGCATCAGGAAGATGCTTAGCCAGATCCATCACTTCCTCAGAGATTGAAGTCAACTGTTTGTTCATGTCGCTAAGTAGGATTTCTTCCTCTAGGAGAAAAAAAAAAAAAAAAAATCAATATTAATTTTCAAACCACAAAGCAGAGATATTCATTCAGCCACTTCATTAAATAATATTAGGGCTCAAATTTTCATTTTCTTTCCTTAAATGAATTCAACAAAAAGACCTTCTTATTCAATCCCCAAATTGCCTCAGTTGCTTTCCCTCTCTTTCAAATTTGTACTGTTTCAATTTAAAGTAAATTCCAAATGATCTGCAGTCATATGTATTATAACCCAGCAGTTATTGGCCTAGGCAGAAGGAGAAGGTGGAAATGAGAATCTGAACCCGTCTGTACTATTGCAAAATCAGAAGTCAGTATAACACCATGTATGCTGCTACTTAATAATACTGTTTAGTAAGCACAGCCTTCTCCAACAGTCATCCCTCATGCCTTCATTCCCAGTCATCACCAAAATAAAATGTAAGCCTTCCTAGTCAGTGATCATCTTCCAAATTCTCAACTTCATCCTGCCTGGTACATCATTTGCCATCAACAGCACAAAGCCTGCCCTGCTTTACCAAACACTTCCCCTGCTTAGAATTTATTCATCATCATTTCTCTTGTCCTTCAAAAGCTCATCTCCTCTGAAGCCTATGAGATAGAGCTACATAACCTGCTATTTGTGATTACTACAGTTATCTTGTCATCTCCAAACTGCATCCTTTCATCCCTTGGAGATCTTAACGCCTGATTCATTAACTGACTTTCCCTCCACTACTATTCCTGTGATAACTGCCAGTGACTTCAACATCCACAGGCCAGTTCCTTGACCCCTGCATTTCCGACAATCTTTTCTTCAACAGACCTTAGCCACTCCATTCCACAGTCATACCGTTGACCTTATAATTGCCAATAAAATCACCACTTCCAGACTTCAACTGTAAGCCTTCCACCCTGAGAACACCAGCATACCTATCTTTCCTTCCAGCATGCTTTCCCCAACAATACTTTGACACTTGCAGAACCAAATGCATTGATCCTATCACCTTTTCCTTACCTATCGCCCTCCCTACTCCCACTCCCCACTGAGCCTTCCATTTCTCTCTTACCCACAATACAGTAATCATTCCTTTGTATCTATAGACTCTCAACTCCTTTGCTCTTCCCTCCCTCCATGGTAATTACCTGGCAAAACCTCTACTCTAAATAAAACCCACTTTTTTTTTTACCTACCTGATGCCTACACCCAAGCAGTTGAATATAGTTGAAAATAAAGCACATCGATGATGACACAAGTTATTTTAAACTCAGGACACAGATTTCAAACGCATCCTCAGCCCTGACTGTTAATTCTTCTGTTTCCCACTCTCAAAATGACTATTTCAAACATCTTCCTTTCTTTGTGAACCTCCAACACCTGTGAGAACAACTTCACCTCTTATTTCACTAAGAAAAATGAAACAATAAGAGAATTACCTCATCTTCCCACTTTTCAATTTGCCATTCAGTCTTCAGATCTCTACTCCCATTTATAGCAAAATTCCTTGAAAGAGTTGTCTATACTCACTCTCTCAAATTTTCTGCTCCCATTTCCTCCCAAACCAACTCCAACTAAGTTTTCACCCAAATCAGTAGAGCAAAGCTGCTTTTGAAAAGGTTACTGATGGGCCGGGCGTGGTGGCTCACGCCTGTAATCCTAGCACTTGCGAGGCCAAGGCGGGTGGATCATGAGGTCAAGAGATCTAGAGCACCCTGGCTAACATGGTGAAACCCCATCTCTCCTAAAAATACAAAAAAATTAGCCAGGTGTGGTGGCCGGCGCCTGTAGTCCCAGCTACTCGGGAGGCTAAGGCAGCAGAACAGCGTGAACCCAAGAGGCGGAGCTTGCAGCGAGCCGAGATTGCGCCACTGCACTCCAGCATGGGCGACTGAGCAAGACTCTGTCTCAAAAAAAAAAAAAAAAAAGAAAAGAAAAAGTTATTGATGGCCTCCACACCATCCAACCTAACTTAATTCTAGACTCTCATCTTACTCAACTTCTCCAAATGACTTAAAGCAACTGACAACTTCTTCCTATTTAAAACATTTTCTTCAGGTGGCTTCAGAACTAAACACCTCCTGTACTTCCCTCCTTCATTAGTGGTCCTCCCAGTCCTCTTTGCTGCTCTCTCCTCATCTTCCCAACCTCTAAATGCTGGTGTGCCTTTGAGGTCAATATCACGTCTATTCTTTATTTCATTCACTCCCTATTTTATCTCATTCAGTCTCACTGCTTTAACTACCATCGGATCTGAATTACATCTCTAACCTCAACCTTGAACTTTGGGATCATATTTCCAACTAAGACATTCTCTTGGATACCAATAATCATCTAAAACTTAGGATATGCAACACTGAAATCTAAAGTTTTCTCACCCAAACCTGTTCTTCTCATAATCTGTCCACTATAACTGACTTTTCCATTCATCAGATGATCTGACGAAAATATCTTAACGTTCTATCAATCTTCACACCTCACCCCTTACAGGGAATTCATCAGCAAATCCCTCACAATATATATCTTCCAAATATCTACAGAGGCTACCACTTCTCATCACCTCTATTGCTACCAGTCTAATCCAAACAATTATTGTCTATTGCCTGGGCTGTTACAATAGCCTCCAAACTCTCTGTCAAAATGCCCTGGGGCTAAACATTTTCCCTTTTACAACAACCAGAAAAATCTTTCTAAAATAAAATTTTAATTATATAATTATTCTGCTCCAAACCCCCTATGGGTTTCCCATCACCCATCATCGTATTTATTTTCATTAATAAGAAATGAAGTCAGATCCACAGTCTACAAGGCCCTACGTGATGTGGCCCAAGTTCCTTTTCTAGCCTCATTTCCTGCCACTCTTACCCTCACTCATTTCATTCAGTTATATGCACTGTTCCTCCAAACAAGCCAGCCAATCATCCTAGGAGGTTTTGCACTTTCTTCCCTCTAATCCTGCTATGGTCTTCCTTCAGATAACCACACGGCTCCCTCACTTCACCCAAAGGAAATGAAGGGGTGTGGTTCGTTTGGCTTGTAAATTTTCCCAAGCAACTCTAACAGTGCCTGACACATAAGCACCCAACAAATAAGTGTTATATGAATCAATAAACGTTCCCTTTCCAAACTAACCTTCTAGAAGAACAGTTGTTTACATATGCCTTAGTTATTTCTAAAACAACTAAAACAAGCTTCCAAGAAAATGTTGTTTTCAAGCCAGACGCAGTGGCCTGAAACCCAAGGTATCCAGGAGGCTGAGGCAGGAGGATCGCTTGAGGCCATGAGTCTGAGCCAGGCTGGGCAACATAATGAGAACCTGTCTCTGTTTCCACATTCCTCAGATCTAACTTACTCCTCTATTCACGTTAATATGATTTCCTCCTACCTCATTCTCTTGCTATGGTTATAGGACCTTCATGTTACCAAAGACTGTGGACTCTTCTCTGTTTGAATAGCATATGCTCCAAATGACCACTCCTCAAAACACTCCTTTGCTACCCAGTACAGCAAAGCTATTGTTTAAAAGATTACAAATGATCGGCGCATTGCCAAATCTAATGATGAATTCTAAGTCCTCAGTTTCTCAAACTTTCAGCAGAATTTAAAACAGTTGATAGCATCCTCCTACTTAAAACATGTTCTTCACTTGGCTTTCTGCACACCACACCTCCTAATTTCCTCGATGTCTATGGCAACTCCTTTGGTGTCCCCTCCTCCACACAAATGTTCAACACTAAGAGTTCCTCAGGATTCTCAGTCCAAACTCTCTTAACTCAAACTGTCCTCTGCGCTACAGCCAACACAACTAATTCTTGCACCATCTCCACTTTGCTATCTTACAGGTCTCTCTCCCTTAACATACCTAAAATCAACTGTGTGACAATGCATCCCAAAATCTTGCTCTTCCTCAATGCTTTTCATTCCCGTTGCTTATGCCAACAACACAGGAATGATCCTTGACATGTGTCTTTCATCATTACCTCAAATTCCGTTGGTTTATTAAACGTATTTTGAGGCGGGGCATAGTGGCTCAATGCTTGCTCTATTAAATGTGTTTTGAGGTCAGGTGTGGTAGCTCATGCCTATAATTCCAGCACTTTGGGAGGCTGAGGTGGGCGGAGGACTTGAGACCAGGAGTTCAAGACCAGCCTGGCCAACATGGTGAAACCCCATCTCCACTAAACATATAAAAATTAGCTGGGTGTGGTAGCAGGTGCCTGTAATCCCAGTTACTCAGGAGGCTGAGGCAGGAGAATCGCTTGAACCCAGGAGGTAGAAGATGCGGTAAGCCGAGATCACATCCAGCCTGGGTGACAGAGCAAGACTCAAGAAAAGAAAAAAAAAAAAAAATGAATTTTGAATCTGTCAACTTTTCTCCATTCTCAACACAATTAACCGATTCAAGTTGCCATTACCTCTCACTTGGATTACTGTCACAGCCTCCCAAAAGATATTCCTACTGTGACTCCTGCCTTCCTCCTACCATTCGTTTTTTATTCTAGAGCCCAAGTTCTTCTTTTTTTAAATGCAATTCATTGCTGTGTTTAAAACCCTCAGTCACTTCGATTGCTCTTGGGAGGAGATATAAACTTCTTACCATGGCCCATCTGCTTTCCTTTTTCTGCTTCGCCTTTATCTGCCCAGTCCTATTCAATGTTCTACTGAACTACTTTCAATTACCTATAGACACCATAATTTCTCTTACCTCTGAAACTTGGCACCTGTAATTTCCTGTACCCATTCTTTCCTATACTCTTCAGCTAGCTAACTTTTTTTTTTTTTGAGACAGAGTCTCACTCTTGTCATGCAGGCTGGAGTGCAATGGTGCAATCTCGGCTCACTACAACCTCCGCCTCCCAGATTAAAGCAATTCTCCTGCCTCAATCTCCCAAGTAGCTGGGATTACAGGCGCCCATTACCACATCCAGCTAGTTTTTTGTATTTTTAGTAGAGATGGTGTTTGACCATTTTGGCCAGGCTGGTCTCGAACTCCTGACCTCAGGTGATCTACCCACCTTGGCCTCCCGAAGTGCTAGGATTACAGGCATGAGCCACTGCGCCCGGCCTTAGCTAACTCTTGCTCAGGTTTCAGGTCTGGCTTTTACCTGCACTTTCTCCAGGAAATATTCTATAATATTTCCCCCAATATGTGTCAGATGCCTCTTGGTGTGCTAACTACTGTACCTTGTTTTCCCATGACGTAAGACTCATCTCCCTGCAATTGCTTTTTTCACTCATCTATATCCCCAATAAAACTGTAGGCCCCTCAGGAAACACACTATGCCTGGCTTGTTCACTAATGTATTCCCATATTGTAAAATGCTCAGCAATATTTAATAAATGAGTAAATGTATCTTTAACTACTATATCATTTGGTGTTTATTAGCTACCATCTTGGGAATAAGTCAATGGGGAAACAATGGGGAAACAATGTGTAAACATTCTTTTATGTTCTAATCTTTTTATCCTTTAACAAGAAGAAAAAAACAGTCTAATAATAAAAAGCGAAAGAGAAAAGTGATCATTTGAAAATATCATCCATATGTACATGAAGAAAATTAGAGAACAGTGATGCTGATACTTCTGGCTGAATAACAGAAAGGAAGGGAGGGAGGAAGGAAGGCAAAAAGATGGTATTCTTGGTTATTAGGTTGGTGCAAAAGTAACTGTGGTTTTTGCCATTAAAAATTATCAAAACCATAATTGTTTTTGCACCAAACTAATACAATTCACTGGAATCTGAGTCAAGATGTCACAATATACTCACATATATAATGCAATAAAGGGGGAAAAAAGTGAAGGTCAAATAATGTAGTATTACAATGTAGCATTACAATGACAGGTACACAGATACCAGGACTTCCAGTATTGTGTTATTAATATGTATTACTTTAGTGAAAAATATAGTAAACATTCCTTGGAAGCATTTTAATCAAAATTGCACATGTAACAAAATTGTACATGTAACCTACATGCAATTCCACACAAAAATTCATAAATCTCCTCTGTTGAATTTTAGTTTCATTATGAGTTAAATAAGTTCTTACATACTGTTTCCCTAATCAGCTTAAAAAACCTATCACCTGCCTGAGTTAATTAACATACAGTCATTCCTCTGTATCCTCGAGGGATTGGTTCCAGGAACCTCCCCATCACTGATATCAAATCCATAGATGATCAAGTCTCTTACATAAAATGCTGCAGTATTTGCATATAACCTATACACATTATCCTGTATACTTTAAATCATCTCCAGATTTCTTATAATACCTTATACAATGCCTACACATCATTTCATTCATATGGATTCAGTGTGGTACTCCACGCAGTAAATTCAACTTTTCCTTTTTTAAACTGTGAATTTTTTTTTTTTTTTTTGGCTGGAATGTTCTCAATCTGCGATTGGCTGAACCCACAGATGCAGAACCCAGGGATATGGAGGCTGACTCTAAGTTACAGCCACAAGACCTCTGACTACAGAGAACCAGCAGGCATTCATCAGAAGTGGCTCTCCAGGGAGGGGAAGTAAGAATAAAGACTCTTCTACCTTAACATACAAAGGAGGACCTGCCACCCACAGAGGCTCTGAATCCCTTCTCAATGACAATTATAAAGAATATCATATCATTTTATATGAGGCAGTCATGCCATATTTTTAAGAGTATTTAGCAAAATGGTCTAATTTAATTAACATCTTAACAAACACAATCATTTAAAATCGCCAAAAGGAAACTACAAGAATAGTGATAACTTTATTATCAATACAGATGTTTTGAATAGTTTGTCCCTTTAGGTGTTCACAATTGTTCTATAAAACAGACATTATGCTAGTATCCACATTCCACCCTTGGAGAAACAGGTACATCCCAGGTCACATGGCTGGGATTCACATTGGTCTGTGCAACAAAAAGCCTGGGCTCACCCACTCCGCTACGTGGCTCCTTCTGCACTCACTGGCCTATCAAGACCTCTAAAAACAGCACTGAGTTTGGATGACATGTCCATTATTTTTAGAGAAAAATCACAGAAAAAAATTAGAAATGTAAACCAGTATGTTAGAAAGCACTGTAAAATGCTCAACAATATTTAATAAATGAATAAATATATCTTTACCTACTTTCTCATTTAGTGTTTATTAGCTACCATCTCGGGGATAAGCCATCTCATATGTTTTAAAGTATTATATAGAAAGCATTTCAAATACTTATAGCAAGGACGTATCATCTCCAGACTGGGAGAAAGCTGGCTGTGTCACTGCTATTATGAAAGCCACAAAGCCCCAACTCTAGAAGCCAAATACATAGCAATGCTACAAAGTAAAAGAAGTAAGGGCTGCTTTGCCACAAGTAACAAAGATGAAACACTAATCTTGGGCCCTGATGGATCCCACCCGAATGTCAGGAATACTCAGACATTCAAGAAGTTATAGCACTAAATGCTTTGCAAATATGTGAATATTGTCTTTTTGGAGATAACCCTCACAAAAGAGTGAATTCACATTTTATTTATGGTTCTTAACATACCTTTATTTATAGCAAACTTTTGCACAGCATCATCCAAAATTTCTAAATTTCGGTAAATAATAAAACCAGCCTATAAAAAAACAGAAAAATTTAAAAAGTGTCCTAAAGATCACTGAAATAAAACAGTAAGTCCCATCTTCAGAAAAATCGAAGAAAATTATTCGCAAAGCACCCAAACATGGAATTCAACCTATTATGTGACACAAATATCAATATGTCCTCATTTAATAATCATACCAATTGTGAAAATTGAGAAAGTAAGCTGCCTAAGCCTTAAAAGTTTGTTTTCACTTTTTCACACTCAATTATTACACACAATATCCAAATAAAATAACCTATAACGGAATGTAACAAAATGCAATCTAGTGAGAGAAATCCTATTTAAATCAGCTGAGAATGTTAGTCAGTATATGAAGAGTCCTCCTTCTAAGTCCTGTTAACAAGAACAATCAAGTCACATTGATTCTTCATGAATAAAAATGCTACAGAACTTGTGCTAGCTCTCAGCAAGTTTGGGGATATCTTTTAAAGGAAAATTATCATCCAATTTTCCTAACAAAAGTGAATTGTTGCTGGTTACAATTCAAAGGAGTTTCCATTCCTTTGATAGATGCAAAGGAGAAACAATAAAATATTCATCTACAAATGATAGCATAAATTAGGAGAAAACAAATTCACTGTGGAATAAAATATGTTTCTTAAAAAACACACAATAGTGCTAGATATAAAGAAAAGCCCAGATTTCACTACATACAAACATGTAAATATAAAAATATATCTAATGGCAGCAACAAGCTAAATTTGGAGGCAATTTTTCTAAAATTTCACCACATTTTATGTATAAATATAGGAAATAAGGCCAGTTTGAAAATAGAAACTGTACTATAATTATTTTCATTCTGAATTGTTTATATATCAAATCCATCATCAGTACTATTTGTGCTTGCTCAGCCTGGGTTTCTTAGCCTTTCATGTTTTCAGCAAGTTCACATTTTTTTTTACATACAAATTAGACATTAATTTGGCTTCATGACAATGAAAATAACTAGCATTGAACAATCTGTTGATTGGTACTTGCTAACTAGTATCGAGAATGAACAGTTTCACTAAATGTCTTCCTAAGCATTTTTCAATGCCAAATTGATATAAAATATTTTGGTAGAGTTTCTGCCACTACTACAATAAAATTTTTCTAAAGTCATTTATAATAATGTTTTTAAAACACATCACAATTTCTAAAGATCTTTAAGCACGTACATAAGCATCAGTGGCTGCGTACAGTTTCTGGTCCTCAGTGAGAGGAAATTTACTCCAATTGCTACAGCGGATAGACTTGTCTTTCAGAAGCTGTTTACCTAAGAGGTGTTTAACCAGACCGCTGAGGCTCCAGGTCTCTGTACATTTCAACTAGAAATGATGAAAAAGCAACACAGTAAAAATCAGTTCCTGTTTTCAGGTATTAACAAATGACATCAAATGAACATACCACAGATAAAATTAGGAAATGTTATACCAAAATACAATCCACAGACAGCCTTCAACCAATTCCCTGTCACTAAAAGCCTCATATGCAGTCCACATTGTAAGAATTTAATTCTAGAATTTCCCTAATGTAGGTATTAAAATTCTTGGACTTTAAAAGTACTGTTCATGAAAAAAAGCTGGTTAGTAGTCTTTCTACCTCCCAGCCAAATGAATAGTTGGCTAAATATGAGAATTTAATTTAATGACTTCATTAATAAAGTATGTGAAATATAGGTGATGGAACTGAGAGCCAAACTTCCACTAAGAGCACTGTATCACAAGAGCTCCATTATGCTCTCCCTTAAATAAAAAAAAAATTTTTTTTGAGTTACTGGTATAAATGTATTAAAAATATACACCTAAAACACAATTTTACATTTGCAAATATATGAATGTGAAAGAGTACCAAGAACTGGGAGGAAGGGAAGGAGAAGGCTTGCTTAAATAAACTGTATGTAATCCCAGCACTTTGGGAGGCCGAAGCAGGTGGATCACACGGTCAGGAGATCAAGACCATCCTGGCTAACACGGTGAAACCCCGCCTCTACTAAAAAAAATACAAAAAATTAGCTGGGTGTGGTGGCATGCCTGTAGTCCCAGCTACTTGTGGGGCTGAGGCAGGAGAATCACTTGAACCCAGGAGGCAAAGTTTTCAGTGAGCCAAGATTGCACCACTGCACTCCAGCCCAGGCAACAGAGCAAGACTGTGTCAGAAAAAGAAAAAGAAAGAAAGAAAGAAAGGAAAGAAAGGAAAGAAAGGAAAGAAAGGAAGAAAGAAAGAAAGAAACCGTATGCCGGCCAGGTGCGGTGGCTTATGCCTGTAATCTCAGCACTTTGGGAGGCCAAGGCAGGCAGATGACCTGAGGTCAGGAGTTCGACATCAGCCTGACCAACATGGAGAAACCCCATCTCTACTAAAAATACAAAATTAGCCAGGCTTGGTGGCACATGCCTGTTACCCCAGCTACTCAGGAGGCTGAGGCAGGAGAATCACTTAAACCCGGGAGGTGGAGGTTGCAGTGAGCCGAGATCGTACCATTGCACTCCAGCCTGGGCAACAAGAGCGAAACTCCATCTCAGGGGAAAAAAAAAAAAAAAGAAACTGTATGCCAAGACAGTGGATTAGAACTAAAGGTTTTCCATTGTGGAAGGCTATGTAGCAATTCCTCAAAGACCTAAAGAAAGAAATACTATTTACCCCAGCAATCCCACTACTGGGTATATACCAAAAGGAATATAAATCATTCTGTTATAAAGACACATGCACGCATATGTTCACTGCAGCACTATTTACAATAGCAAAGACATGGAATCAGCCTAGATGCCCATCAATGATAGACTGCATTAAAAAAAAAAAAAATGTGGTACATATATATCATGGAATAGTATGCAGCCATTAAAAAAAAAAAAAAAACAAGATCATGTTCTTTGCAAGGACAGGGATGGCATTGGAGGCCATTATCCTTAGCAAACTCATGCGGGAACGGAAAAGCAAATACCGTATGTTCTCACTTGTAAGTGAGATCTAAATGATAAGAACACATGGACACATAGAGGGGAACAACACACACTGTGGGAGGTGGAGAGTGGGAGAAGGGAGGAAGAGAATCAGGAAGAATAACTAATGGGTACTAGGCTTAATACCTGGGTGATAACCTGTACAATAAACCCCCATGACACAAGTTTACCTATGTAACAAACATGCACATGTACCCCTGATCGTGAAACAAAAATTAAAAAAAAAAAAACTAAACTAAAGGTTTTCATTATAGAACATTCACTTGGAACTTTTTTATTGCTACAAAAACATTATATAACTTAAACTATTTTTTCAAAAACTCTAACATTCAGATAGAAAGTACATTCTGTGCAACACAAAATTATCTTCATTATGAAAATTATATATATATTGATTTTACCTTTTTATTGGCAACATCTGTCAACTCCACAAAATTCTTCAATTTGATATCAAAGTCACGTAGAAGTTTCCACTGATCTCCTTCAATTCCTACACCTGCCTTTTTAATTGCTTTATTTTCAAGCAACATTTTTAATCCCTGGGGGAAAACTGTAACATTTTCTTGTTATTTCCGTAAGTTCTGTCAAGTATGATGGATTTATGTCCTACTTCTTATACATACCAGGTTTATGTTTAAATTTGTATTTAACAGTAATCTTAAATTCAGAAACACATTCACCTTGAGTATGTCTTAACTAAAGCAAATGGTTAAGACATAAAGCTGATTGATAAATGACAAGAAAAAATACTCAGTTTCAATGCCACTCCTGCTAGCAATAGCAGTATATATCCTGGTCAGTTAGCCCCTTAAAATTTCAGTTTTCTCTTCTCTAAAACAGAAAAAATGTCAATGCCTCACAGGCATGTTGTGAAAATTAAATAAAACAAGGAATGCGAGTGAATCAGGTAGAACATAAATACTTAAATAAATTTAAGATAATGAGAGAATGGCCAGCTAATAAAAGAACTTAATTTTATAGGGATAAAGTTGACATATTACAATTATCAGCCATAAAAAAATGAAATGAAGAGACACCAACCTGACATGGAAGAAATGTGGAACAAGTAACATTTGCTCTCAGAAACACACAACTGAATTAGCGCAACTTTGCCAAGTTTCCCTTTATTGTATAATGGTGGCCACTCCATGTCAAATCCCACGACATCCCCATCTGATAGACTCATGCTAAGGGGGGAAAAATCGTGTAAATTAATTATGTTAAAAATTTAAACTTCTGTATAATTAAAGACATAATTCAAAAATTAAAAGGCAATCACAGACAAGTTATCTGCAGCACATACAACTGATAAGGGACAGCCAGAAAATATGTAAAATTGCTTGAAAAACAAGAAAAGACAAATTATTCAGCAGAAAAATGGAGAAAAATATGAACAGGTAATTCCCAAAAGAAAATCCAAATGACCTATAAATCCAAAAGATATGGCCAGGTACGGTGGTTTGCCCCTGTAATCCCAGCACTTTGGGAGGTCAAGGCAGGAGGACTGCTTGAGACTAGGAGTTTAAGACCAACCTGTGCAACACAGCATGTCTCTACCAAAAAAAACAAAAAAATTAAAAATTAACTGGGCGTGGTGGCACACACCTGTAGTCCCAGCTACTCAGGAAGCTGAGGCAGGAGGATCACTTGAGTCCAGGAGTTCAAGGTTAACGTGAGCTATGATCACATCACTGCATTCAGCCTGGGTAAAAGTGCAAGACCCTGTCTCCAAGAAAAACAAAAATAAAAAATAAATTTTAAAAATCCAAAAAAAAATGTGAAGACACTGCTTCTCACTAGAAGTCAAAGAAATGCAAATTAAGTCTACATGATTTCACATCTATCTGACTGGTAAAAATTAAAGTTTCAGAATACCAAGTGTTAAAAGGATATCTATCAGTGGGGAATATATAAATTGGTAAAATCCTTTTGGAAGAAAACTTTGACAATGACAATATCTAGTTGAAGGTGCATAAACACTATGGCCCGGCAAGTTTTGTCACAAATAAATGAAACCCTCAGATGTGTACAAACAGACATATTTAAGAATGTGCATTGCAACACTGTTCCTACTGGCAAAACTTAGAAACAAACTAAATTTCCATTAACAACAGAATGGACTGAACCAGCTGTTGCATAAGGAAACATTGTAAGATGTAACAGTTAAAATGTAACTATGCAGATCAACAAGAAAAATTCTCAAAAACATAGTGTTGAGTAAAAAAGACAAGTTACAGAGTACACATAGTTTGCTAGCATTTTTTAAAGTTTTTAAATGGGCAAAATAACATTATATAATATTTTCAGATATAAAATTATTAAGTACTATTATAAAAACCATGTGAGCAGCCAGTGGCTCACGCCTGTAATCCCAGTGCTTTGAGAGACCAAGGCAGGAGGATCACTTGAAGCCAGGAGTTCAAAACTAGCCTAGGCAACATAGTGAGACCCTGTCTTTAAAAAATATAAATAAATAAATTAGCCAGGCATGGCAGCACATACCGGTAGTTCTAGCTACTTGGGAGGCTGAGGTGAAAGGATCACATGAGCCCATAAGGTTGAGGCTGCATTGAGTATGATCTCACCACCGCACTCCAGCCTGGATAACAGAGCAAGACCCTGTTTTTATTAAAAAGGAAAAAAAAAATGCACAAAACTCATAGAAGTTATCACAGAGGGGCACAGGGGGAGAATCAGAAAGAACAAACATGGGGCTTCAGCTGTATTTTAATGTTTCATTTCTTGATAAAGAACTGAAGAAAACAGGCCAGGCGCAGTGGCTGACACCTGTAATCCCAACGCTTTGGGGGGCCAAGGCAGGCAGATTGCTTGAGTCCAGGAATTCAAGAGCAACCTGGGCAACATGGCAAAAACCCCATTTCTATAAAAAAAATACATATAAAAATTATTCGGGCGTGGTGGTGCATGCCTGTAGTCCCAGCTACTCAGGAGGCTGAGGTGGGAGGATTACTTGAGCCCAAGAGGCGGAGGTTGCAGTGAACCAAGATCACACCACTGTCACTCCAGCACGAGCAACAGAGTAAGACCCTATTAAAAAAAAAAAAAAAATTGAAGAAAATTAAGATTTGATAAACAAAGTGGGAGGAATATGCATACTTATTATATTGCTATCTATTGTTGTTGATACTTGCTTATTTAACAGTTGTTAAAAATTGAAAATACATTTAAAAAATAAAAGAAACTCAACTTCTGCTTCAGGCCAACATTATAACAAGGGAGGCCAGACTCACCCTCCCACCACAAACAAATCTAAACTTGGACAAAACATATAAAACAACTGTTTCGGATACTAGACAACAGGCAGTACAGGACTATGATCTCCAAGGGAAAGGAAATGAAGGGTGAACCTTACAGTTGCCCCACGTTCTTCCTGGGACCCATTGCAGACAACAGAACAGGGAGAAGAATCACAAGGAGAGCACTGAGTTGGGGAGACAGAGTTCAGAGCCCTGGAAGCTGAAGGACCTGGAACTGCTGGGGTAGAGTTCTGGAGAGGAGGAAGCTAGGCAGGAAAAGAGCTCCGGAAATCTTCCTAAGGGACTCCTTTGGTCTTTGCAGAATACGAAGACAAGCATGCATAGACCATTACTCTATGGGTCCGGGCAAATAACCATAAGCTGAATGATTCTCAGGACGGACTTACACAAAGGTAAGAGGCATTAAAGCTCTGAAAAGTCAGAGAACAGATGGCTGATCACCAGAGGCAATCAACAAAGACTCCAGAAGGGTCACATCTTTTTAGAAGGCTAAATTACCCTTAGACTAAAGGCAAATGTGGACCTTCCCTGATCAAGCTTGAAAACAAGCTTCAAAACATAAAGTTGATCTTCAAGTAACTTAGATGTCTGACAAAGTTCCCTTCTTTAAAGAAAAACAATAAAATCTAACATTCTGCAAAGTAAAATCACAATGCCTAATCTAAAAAAAAAAAAAATTAACAGCTGTAAGAATAAACAGGAAAATATGACCCAAAACCAGGAGAAAAATCATCCAACAGAAAGAAAAAAAATCCTAGAATAATGGAATTAACAGACAAGTACATTAAAACAGCTATTAAAAATATGCTAAATATATTCAAGAATTTCAAAAGAAACATGAATAATGAGAGCTAAAATGGAAAAAAAAAAAAAAAAAAAAGAACCAAATGGAACTCCTAGAGATAAACAAAATAATGTAGTATCTAAAAAAGAAATTCACAGGATGGTATAAACAGACCAGACACTATAGAAGAAAAAAATATAAGTGAACTTGAAGACATAGGAAACAAAACTATTAAAGCTATTCAAAAGGAAGCACAGAAAGAAGAAAAGGAAGAAAGAAAAAAAGACTAAAAGGAAATAGCCTCAGTGGCCTGCAACACAGTATCAAGCAATCAAACTTGTGTGTACTAAGAGTCCCAGAAAGTGAAAAGAATAACAGGATAGGAGGAAAAAAGATCTGAAGACATTTTTCAAATTTGACTAAAGGTTTAAGTCCACGGATCAAAAAAATTCAATGAACTCCAAGCCAAATAAACACCAACCACATTACACAAGGGCACATCATAATCAAATTGTTGGAAATCTGTGGTAGCAAAAATTTAAGGTATCTAGAGGAAAGGAAAGCAAACACAAAAACTCTGCCTGCCTTTTATAAAATACATAGAAGTCATCAAAACTACAATTCTTCAAGTCACTTTTGCTAATTGCCTTCAGAAATGACATACTGTAGCAAGGCTGAAGGTAAAATGGTAGAGTTAATACGTAATCATAAACAACAGATTTTACCTCCTCTGTGAAACTAATTCAGTATAATGAATCCCAAAGTGGCCAGATAACTATAGTAGAAGTAAAAACACTTGAATGTCATTTCTAGCTTGTATCTACACCAGTAGACCATTAATAAATAGGTTAACTTACCTCTGCCTTTTGTTTGTTTGTTTGTCTGTCTGAGACAGGGTCTTGCCCTGTTGCCCAGGCTGGAGAGCAGTGGTGTGATCAAGGCTCACTGCAGCCTCAACCTCTTGGGCCCAAAACCTAGGCCTCCTGAGTAGCTAGGACCACAGACACCTGGATAATTTTTAAATTTTTTTTTATAGAGATGGGGTCTTACTATGGCTGGTCTCAAACTCCTGGGCTCAAGCGATCCTCCTGCCTTGGCCTCCCAAAGTGTAGGGATTATAGGCATTAGCCACTGTGCCCAGCACCTCTGCTTTTTTTAACCCAATATGTAACAAATTTTTTCCTTTTTTTAAAGAAAAAAAAAGACAGGTATAACAACTTCAAAAAAGATCTGAATGAATTCCTTATTACTTCTGTTTTATGCTTTGAGAGCCTTGGATTGCATTATTGCAGTCCTAATTTTACAAGGCAACCTTTAAAAATACTAACAGACATTTCTGTTTTTTGTTTGTTTGCAGGTTTGTTTTTTGTTTTTTTTTTTTTTGAGACAGAGTCTTGCTCTGTCGCCCAGGCTGGAGTGCAGTGGCACAATCTTGGCTCACTGCAACCTCCGCCTCCCGGATTCAAGCAATTCTCCTGCTTCAGCCTCCTGAGCAGCTGAGACTACAGGCGCCCACCACCACACCTGGGTAATTTTTTGTATTTTTAGTAGAGACGGGGTTTCACCATGTTAGCCGGGATGGTCTCGATCTCTTGACCTCGTGATCCACCCGCCTCGGCCTCCCAAAGTGCTGGGATTACAGGCCTGAGCCACCGTATCTGGCCTCTAATGTTTTGTGAGAACATTTTTTAAGGATCATTTGTTAGAATTGTTGCTAATTAAACACAACAGAGCCAATCACAGCCATTATTCAATATTACTATGTTGATATTTTTAATGAAATATAAAGGTGCATTTAAAGGTTAAATAATTTTTGCATTTTTTCCCTAAATTGGTAAAATAAACACAATATGTTCAGTAGCTCTATATATAACATCTTAAGTACTAAAAGTTAAAAAAACTGTCGTGCTCACTTCAGCAGCACATATACTAAAAAAGTTAAAAAAACTGTCTAAAGTAATAGAAAAGCATATGCATGAACAAACTGACAGATTACAAATTAATTCAGTGACTATTTTTTATTTGAAACGTAAAACTTGGTGATAGTCTATACATAGAAATAATTATCTATTGAACACACCTCAACTATAAAACTCAGTATATTCACAAATATTACAATATTACCATAATAGTACCTTCTAAGGGTCCAAATTCAAATGAAATCAGGAAATTCAAATCACTTACCAAATATCTTCTGACAGGAAAGAGCAATCACTAGCGTCATAACTATACACAATGGATCCAGTGAATTCTAAGAAGGGGAGGTCGTCTTCAAAAACACTCTTCCGAACACATGCCTTGAGTTTAGTAAATTCCAAAACAGGCACAAAGTTCACATCAAATAACAAATGTTCACTGAAATAATATTATAGTTCTAAGTTTTATCAATTAATGTTTTATAAACTAATGAAGTCATAAAGAAAACTAAACAAAGAAAAAGCCATCCCATTGTAAAATTATTTCTCCTAACAAGTTTATCTTTAAACCTCTAATCCCATTTTCATAAAAGCATTTATTTTCCTGAGTTTTTTTTTCTGGTAATTATATTCATATTGTAGCTGTAAGAATAATGTTGCCTTAAAATGCTTAAGGCTGGCTGGCAAACAAAAAATTCAACAAAGGTAATGTTGTCTAAATTATCTGAACTAGAACAAACTGGTAAAGTCAACCATGCAAACTGAATATAAAAAGAGAAAATATACAGTAAGAATTCTCATTTTGGAAACCCAATTAAAGTTTATTCCAGTTTACCCTTTCAACAACTAGGTCCTGGTGCATTTAGACAACAGTAACTCTGACCTAAACAATGACTTGAAGTTTACAAGTAACAACTGACTCTTTGCACAGTCAAATATAAATTAAATTTCCCACCTGAAAGAATAGTCAATAAACAACATACCTTTCTTTCTTCTACAGCACATCTTTTATTCTGCACATTCATCCATTCAGGACATTTCCGCTGCCGTGAAGTTGTTTCCGATTTTTTTTCATTCATCTTTGAAATGTCCTATTTGCAGAGTCCAAAAAACCAATGTCTTCATGGGTAAATACAAAACAATATCTGAAAAAAACTGAGAGGTAGTACTGTCGATATGAATGAAAACCAAACATACATATTTAAAGTAAGTTATGACACCTAGGTCCAAGCATAAGTTATAAGAGCTAGAATTACAAAAGAAAACAGATACAATATGCTGCATCTAATAATTATACATTTAGTATTTCTTCCTCTTAAAACAAATCAGCCATTTTAATTGACTTGTATAATTCTGACAGTTTCAAAATTCTATTATTCTATGACTTCGATTCTTAAGAATAACCTCACCTCACTATGAATGAAAATCCTTGGGTATATGAATTATTATGAATTCCTGACATTTTAAATTTTCTACATGATTATTCTGTCTTAAGATCTAAGTAAATTCAGCAAAACTATTAGATTTATTCACAAGTCTACTTAAAGATTTAATTTTGAAGACAGATAATAGCTCTTCTACATTAAGGATTTTTATTTTGCTCCTCACCTAGTAAGTGAACAAATTTCCCTAAGAATGAGTTTTTTAGTGGATTTTTTAAAAATCTGTTAATATCTTTGAGGGCACCCCTCAATGTAAACCAAAATTCAAGTATAATTAAAGAAAATACAGTGAATAAGAATCTCCCAAAGGTGGTGTGTGCATTAAAAAATGCTAATAATAACATATTTGTTTTGTTAATAGTAAAATGGATCCGTACCCTGATATGACTCATACTAAATTGAAATAGCCTTAGCTCAAGGCTTAGTTCTTAGTAAATTCCTCAAACTTCAACCTTAGTTCCTATTACTTTAGCTTTCTAATAAGGAGGTAGCAGTTTTTTTGTTTTTTGGTTTTTGTGTTTGAGATGGAGTCTTACTGTGTTGCCCAGGCTGGAGTGCAGCGGCATGCTCTCGGCTCTCTGCAAGCTCTGCCTCCTGGGTTCACACCATTCTCCTGCCTCAGCCTCCTGAGTAGCTGGGACTACAGGCGCCCACCACCACACCCAGCTAATTTTTTGTATTTTTTAGTAGAGAGGGAGTTTCACCGTGTTAGCCAGGATGGTCTCGATCTCCTGACCTCATGATCTGCCCACCTCAGCCTCCCAAAGTGCTAGGATTACAAGCGTGAGCCACCACGCCCAGCCAAGGAGGTAGCAGTTTTTAATGTAACACTGAAGAGTCTCATGATGAAACAGGATGTTAATGTTAACTATACTAACTATTTATGATTTGAGAATAGTCTGTTGTATTTGATATTTAACAATATAAATTCTGACAAAATTAAACAATACGCAGCAACTATTCCAAGCATGAATCAGAAACTGAAAATACCGATAATTTATGGACCAAAAATTTTTAAAGATGACTTTATCAAACAAATTTTCCATTTAGAGAACAAACTCCATCGCTATTGTGCATTGGGAAGGAAAGGGTTAACAGAGCAGGTTTGTAACTCATTCTTTAACTACTAGGGGAGAGAGAATGAAAGACCTCCACCAAAGTTCCCAGTAAACATCCCAATGACCTCAAACCAGAAGGCAGCTTACTAAGGGTCTTTATTAGTAGAAAAATGCCAAACAGTCCATATCTAGAAAATGTTAGCAAGAAAGAGTTCAACTATCTAGATTGTTTATTGTTAATGAGCCTGGAGATTGTTTACTGTTAATGAGCCTGGAATTATGGATTTATTAATTTATGCTTGAAAATGTGGGGTAGTCAAATAAAGCACATAATTAAAAATAATAATACAGGAGTCCCAATATCAAAACAACTTCCTTTGTGCAATGTTTTTGCATATATTGCTTAAAACTAGCGTGTTAATACAAAACTACAACGTGTCCTAATGCAGAAGAAAGGTACATTTTTGTAATTTATTTCTCACGGTTTGGGACTCAAAAAAAGAATGTTCTATCTGCAATTGGTGCTTGCTTATATTCACTGAATCATGATCAAAGTTTGCCCATGGGTACAACTCAACTCTTGGGGTTGCCACATGCATCATATGTAGTGAAAAAATATGTCAAATACATATGCTTTATGAACTGTAAAGCATTTTATATATGTCACTGGTTATCAATGTGTATATTTTGTCACAAATTCAAAATCCTTGACAGGAGAAGTCAAAAGTTGATCCCAGATTATTTATGTAAAATCAGTTCTTAATCTTAAAATATATATTTATAAAGCTGGAAAACAAGTTTCTGCTATACGTAGAGTAGATCTCATTGGCAAAATGCCAGAAAACTGATGTTTCCACAAATAACACAAACTTTATAAAAACACCTGTAGACTTCTGAAATTTTGTAAGTAATTCATTTACACTGCCAAAACAGAAATAAACTTCAATAACTCTTTCCTTCTATCTATAACACTAAAATCATTTTAATTCAAAATATGTAATTTTTAGATGTAAATACTCTTTTGCACGCAAAATTCTATCTAGATACTTCCAGGCAAAGAACTTGAACGTAAATTTGTTTACAAACCTAACATCTTTGTCAAATTTACTTATATCTTGGGATAGATAAAAAGCACACCGAAAATTAATGTTGTGGAATAACTTGCAATAGGGAAATCCTTTGCCATACATGAGGATTGTAATTCCTGACGAGGTAAAGGTTATTCCTGGTCAAATTCACAGTATAAAATAATTTTTTATTTACATACATACTCGCTATGTCGTTCAGCATGTATGACTTTGACAGGTCTTTTTCTAAAATCACGTGTTTTAGCTTCTGCACAGCAAATCAGTGTGAACAGACAACCTACAGAATGGGAGAAAATTTTTGCAATCTATCCATCTGACAAAGGTCTAATATCCAGAATCTACAAGGAACTCAAACAAATTTACAAGAAAAAAAACAATCCCATTAAAAAGTGGGCAGAGGACGTGAACAGACACTTCTCAAAAAGAGACCTTTATGCAATCATGAAACATTAAAAAAAAACTCAACGTCACTTATCACTAGAGAAATACAAATATTTTTGGCATACAAATCAAAATCACAATGAGATACCCTCTCATGCCAGTCAGAATGGCGTATATTAAAAAGTCAAGAAACAACAGGTGCTGGCAAGGCTGTGGAGAAATAGGAATGCTTTTACACTGTTGGTGGGAATGTAAACTAGTTCAACCATTGTGGAAGACAGTGGAGCAATTCCTCAAAGACCTAGAACCGGAAATACCATTTGACCCTGCAATCCCATTACTGAGTATATACCCAAAGGAATATAAATCATCCTATTATAAAGATACAAGCACATGCATATTCACTGCAGCACTATTCACAATAGCAAAGACATGGAAACAACCCCAATGTCCATCAATGACAGACTAGATAAAGAAAATGTGATACATATGCAATGGAATACTATGCAGCCATAAAAAGGAAGAAGATCATGTCCTTTGCAGGGACATGGATGGAACTGGAACCCATTATCCTCAGCAAACTAACAAAGGAATAGAAAACCAAATACCACATGTTCTTACTTGTAAGTGGGAGCTGAACAATGAGAATATATGGGGAACGACACACACTGGGTCCTGGAGGTGGGACAGCATCAGGAAAAACAGCTAATGTATGTGGGGCTTAATACCTAGGTGATAGATTGATAGGTGCGGCAAACCACCATGGCACACATTTACCTATGTAACAAATCTGCACGTCCTGCACATGTATCCTGGAACTTAAAATAAAATTAATTTTTTTAAAAAACATGTATATTATCATTTCATAATGCTTCATATTGTACCTTCAAAGGATTTTAAACCCCCCTTTAAAATAACGTATTATGATTTGCTTTGGTTTGGACTTTTCCTGAAATCTTATCTATCTACCACTATCTACAATTTTTCAACCTTTATCATTATTTTAAAGGCTGTCCGGAATTTTTGTTGTTGTTGTTTTGTTGCTTAATTTTGGTTTTGGCCAGGCACAGTGGCTCATGCCTGAAATCCTAGTACTTTGGGAGGCTGAAGCAGGAGGACTGATTGAGGGCAGGAGTTCAAGACTAACTTGGTCAACATAGTGAGATCCCATATCATATTTAAAAAAAAATTGTTTTTTATTTTGAATGGCTTAATCGGAATATGTTTGTCTTTCAGTACGGAAATGAAAATTAATCTCATTCACAGGTGGTATAAAAAGTTTTTTTCCCTTTCACCTTACTTTCATTACTTTCTTCAGTTTCCTCTTTTTCTTTTTCCATTTTTTTCTGACTTGATGAAATTATCATGCATTCCCTTTTTCCTCATTATTCATGTTAAAATGCACTGGGTTTATGCTACACTCTACTCCTGACCAAGATTTTTTAACAATGTTTTCTTTGAATTCTACATAGCAACCACTACAAAGAAGCAAATGGCAAAAGAGAAGGCTTTGCTCTCATAGACTGAAAACTCCTTTTTCACCTTAACCAGTATTCCAACAACTTAGTCTCTTCAAATTGTATGTATTTCAAGGGTGCAAAAATTCTTTAAGTCTAATAATTCTCCTTTTCTTTAATTAGGAAATATGTTAATTTATTCAGATGATTTAAGCTTTGAGTAAACTTGAACTTTTTTACATCAAGTATTTCAAAATAATACTAAAGCTTTGTCACAGACGCACACTGACTTTCCTCTACTAGCACTATTAATCTTCTTTAGGATTCAAATAACACCAATTAAACATCACTTATAAAACCATTTTAACTTCACTTTTCCAAAGCTGAATTTTTGCTCTGAATCCATAAACTCTGTCATATACCTTAATGGATTTTCCACATGATCATTGCATTTTTTTATAGAGTGAATTCAAGCACTCAAAATGTCAGTTAAGGATACCACTTTTTGAAGCCAATAACTACACTTCAACAAATCTGCAAAGTAAGAATCACTCACATGGAATAATTTAAATGTTTCCTTTTCGCTTATAAACCTTCCTTTGGACTGTCACATAATCACATAATCAGTAATAAAATAGCTCATCGCATTTCTTCACCTAAAGGTGAAAAGAAGGTACTGTAGGAACTTAGATTTAGTTAGGCTCACCATTTGAATTTTTAATGTAATCA